TGTTCAGTGGAGATCCACTACAGAGAAGGTGCAGGGGCCTGGCTCTGGCTCCAGGTGCAATGCTGTCTAAACTTGCTTGGTCTTCTGAGAGGTTGAGACACCACTAGCTCAGCTCGTGGCTCCCAAGGTGACCGCTGTGCACCTGCCTCTCTCCTGCAGCTAGGCTGAGGGCTCTGGTCTGAAAGGCACCCCGATTCCCCCTCCACCCTCCTCCCACCATCCCCAGCCGTGCGGCCAGTGGTAACAGGACCTGAGTGGCCTACCCCAGCAAGGGAGCTGCCGGCTAACCAGGAGCACAGGTCTTACCTGGGAGCAGGACTGTGGCTGTTGGCCCGTTGCCCTGGATACCAGGAACCAGCCACTCCACGTCCAGACCGTCCCCCCGGGGAGGCTGGAGCAGAGGGATCAGGCTGCCCCCTGTGTAGTAGGTCTGCTTCCGGGTGGTATTTGCTGTGGAGCCCCAAATTGACAAGATGGCATAGCTGCCCTTCCCAGGGTGCCTCCCAGGGTTCCAAGTGCTACAGGTCCCCCTAAGCCTCCCTGCTGGGCAGCTGTTGTCCCATTTCATAGAATCTCGCCCGCACCCTGCAGCCAGAGTGGCTGAATGGGGATCTGATGTGTTTGTATGTGTTTGTGGGGGAGGGGGTGCTTCTTTGAAATGGTCAGTCTAGAACTGCTGGGCTCCATTCCATCATTATGTGGATGATTCGGGATTCACTGCTTAAATGGTGTGGCCTCACTGTTCCTGTCCACCACATTGCAGTCCCTGTTCTCTGGATATACATGGAGCTTGGGTACCATCCCTGCATGGCAGTGCCCAGTCTGGGGCCCGGCACAGTAGCCCGCTCAAAATGACTACTTTCTCCGATTCCACCCAGGAGCCCCTACTTCTGTTGTGCCTGCCCTTCCTCGCAACCCCCCCACCCCACTCATTGGCCCCGGGGCGTTGTAGAACCCTGCCCACCCTGCCCTCCCCAGGCCTCTCCCTACCAGCCAGCTGCTTGAACTGTGACAGGACAGGCTCGAAGAGGTCATAGTAGATCTGGTGCATGGCACTGTTGTCCCGGATGTAGAGCAGGTCGTCCACAGACACAGGGTCCGAGGTGCCTTGCCACAGCGTCAGACTGTACCTGGGGCCCGAGAGCCGGCTCAGCTGCTGCTGGGCCTTGAGAGGCCCTCGGGACTCCCTTGGCCCCCGGCAAGGCCCAGAGCAAGCGCTAGTGCCTACTATCCAGCATGGACCAGCCACTTGGTCCCTGAGCCCCACACCCAGCCTGGGGCCAGAGAAGCAGAAGGGGGTTTCCTGAGCGATGATGGGAGACAGGACAGAGAGAGAGAGGGAGAGGGAGGAGCATGTGGCTGGTCTGCAGAGGTTGTAGCCTCCAGACTCCTGTAGGGAGTCACTGGGGGCTGGGCAGCTTGGAGCCGACTGGGGAGGGAGTGCCCTTATCTCTATGGGGCATGTTGCAACCACAATCTGTGTAGTCCTAGGGGGCACAGCTGGCTCCCCAAGAGGAAGCTGTGGGGCGCAAACTACCCCCATGTAAATGCTACCGCCAGACGTGTTGCCACCCCTGCCAGGGCTGTCCCTGGGGGTGGTGAGCATCCCATCACCAGGGGCATACAAGCAAACCCTTGCTGAGTGGGCATTAGACCAGATGCCTTTCAGGCCCTCCCAGACATGAGTTTCTGGGACGTTCTTGGGGGTAGGTTTGGAGGGAGACGGGTTGGGGACTGGGGTATTCACCTCTCAGACTGGCCCAGCAGCCAGCTGAAGTGGGGCCAGGCGTCCTTCCCCATCATGACAGCTCGCACGGGGAAGGTGACCTTCTGTGGCAGTGCTCCCACCAGCTCCTGCATCCTCTCCACCATGGCCCGTGTGTACGTCCTATCCGGGAGCTGGGGCAGGTAGAGCGTGGTCCAACCAACAGACAGAGTGTTCTCAGGATACTTCTCCTGGACCAGGGCCAGGAACCTGTGGAGTCATAGGCGCAGGCAGCTCAGTTGGGGCTGTGCTGGCCTCTCTCTCTCTCTCTCTCTCTTTCTCTCTCTCTCCCTGGCCCCCACCGTGGTGCCAGGACAAGGCAGGGCCTACAGGATCGTTGATGCAGGCAGACGTATAAGGAGAGCCCCAAGAACACAAGTGGCTAGTTCAGGCTCTGCAGGAGTCAAATTGACCAGGGTCAGGCCCTGACTGTGACCTTGGGCAAGTCATTTGATCCAATCCCTTTCATTCACAACAACAGTGGGTCTCCAAATGTCCCCGGTGGAACGTTAGGAGACTGTACCCAGAGCCCTCAGGTACAATTTGCCAACCTGGGCCCTGCCAGCTCTGACTCGCCCGGTTCTCATAGTTTTATTCCATCCGTATTTTGTCCTCATGTGACTTTTAATAGAATATTCCCCTACCCCTAAACTATTGAGTAAATTGGACACTCCATGTCCCCCTTCCACCCATACCCCCTTGGCTGCTTTCCACGTTAACCTCTGTCTGAGAAACATGGTGATAATCGGATGGGTGGATCAGGCAGTTGGGCAGAGAGAAGAGCGGTAAAGGGTGAGTGTTAAGAATTGGACAGGCCTGGCTTTGAATCTTTGCTCCACGGCTTGCAAGACTCTCCATGGACTTGTTATTCCAGTTGAGCCCATTCCGACTCGAACGACTCCCCAGGGTTTTCCAGGCTGTGATGTCCCAAGAGACTGCCAGCTTTCCTGATGTCCTTTGGCGGGTTGGCCCCACCAAGCTTCAGGTTAATAGTCTGTCTGGTCACTTAGCCATTTGTACCACCCAGCTAGTCTCTTGACTAGATGTAAGCGGGTCATTTAAGGTGTGGGGGCTAACTCCTGTATGGATACAAGATTGTAGTACCTACCTCACTCTCATTGTACACCGCCTGCCCAGTGCTGGGCACAGTGCCCGGGACATCTAATAAATATCCCACACACTGAGCCAGTTTTCTCATCTGTGAAATGGGCAGGGGAAAAAACCCAGCTCTGGTGGGGTGGTGATTACACTCTGTGCTATGATATCCACAAGGTCAGAAGTTTGAAACCACCAGCCATGGTGAGGAAGACTGGGGACTTTCTACTCCTCAGTCTCTGAAATCCACAGGGCATCCTACCCTGTCCTAGAGGGTTGATCCAGGGCACCATTGATTCGGTGGCAGTGTTCTTTTCCCTTTGGTTTGGATCCTGGCAGTATGGCAATGGAAGTATCAAATCAGACCCAGTTTGTTTGGGGTGGGAGCCTCCCTTGTAAGCTGAGTTCAAGGCAGCCTGTGGGTCTGAGGGTTGGCTGTGTCATTGCCAGGGTCCCTAGGGGCTGGAGAGGGAGCCGACGTTTTGGAACTTTCTAGTAAGCCATGCCTTGTGCTGGTCATTGTGGACAGGGGGCTTCAGGCATGTCTACCCTCAACCCTGTGTCCACAGGCTACAAACTCACAAATCAACAGTGACCACCCAGGAAGTCAGGGTGGTGGTAGGAGGACATGTGGAGGCTTAGAGACTTGCAGGGAATCGCTTGTGCACCCTGGGACCACAGGGACATTTCCAAATGAGCTAGCAATATGCACAGGTGCCATCAGCAAGGCGTGAGGGAAAGGCAGTCAAGACAGAGGGAACAGCATGTGCAAAGGCTTAGAGGTGAGACCACCTGGTGTGAATGGAGGCAGACCGAGTCATGACACCTCGGGACTCGGACACTGACCTTGTGGCATTGACCTCTATTGAGAGGGGCACATTTGGGCCCCTCAGGATGTCGGCGTTGATCCACACAGGCCTGCGGATCCTCCCATCCTGTGTGTACCTTCGGAGGCGGTCCAGGGCGGGGCCCACGGCCTTGATACTCTTGAAGTCGAGTTTGATGCCTGGGAGGGGAGGCGGCGTGGTCAGTGCAGGGTGCTGAAGGGCAGTGGGGTGGGGAACAGACTCTATTCGGGCTGGGTGTGAGCATCGCAAACAGGCAAAGCTAGTTCAGAGAGGAAGGGTCCGCCTCTGGCAGGAGCAGTGCCAGTGCCTAGAGGTGGAACTTGAGTCTGGGTGGGGCGGGTGCAGGGGGCACCGAGCCTCAAGGGAAGGGCCAGCTGCGGCTGGGTGGACGAGGCAGGCTCAGTGCACCCTAAGCCAGCATGGCAGCGAGGGAGGTGGTGCGGACGGAGGGGAGCGCTCTGGAGTAGAGAAGGGCACTCGTCAGAGGATGAGCGTAGACAAAGGCCCCGGGCAGGCAGGTGGCCGTGGGCATGAGGGGATGTGGGAGCCGAGGCTGGGCAAGTAGAAGGCCCTGGAGGGTTGGTCAGAGACAATGCTCGGTCCTGAGGGCAACGGGGAGCCGTGGAGAGTGGCCAGAACTTCAGAGGTGGAGCGGTGGGCCTCAAGCAAAGAGCAGAGGGGCTAAAGACGGGAAGCCCAAGAGGAGGGACACCTGGCACGTCTCCCTGTGCGTCCAGGAAAGAACACATCCCCGCCTTCACCTACCGTGTCTTCACTGTCCAGGGCCTGGGATGAGAAAGCCCAAGAAGGCGGGGAGCAAGTCGGGGCAGGAGCTAGATTCACCTCCCAGAGGTGGGGTCCCTGTCCTGCTGCTGGGGACCAGCGGCTATGGGCTAGGTGGGGTGGGCTTGAGGGGTCTTCACCTTTCTGGGAAGAGGTAAGCACAGTGTCCAGCCACTGCTGCAGTGTGTTGTCGCTGTAGATGGCCGGGGGATGCGCCATGATGGGGACCCCTGTCTCGTTGGCCGTGTTGAGCCCTTCCACTGTGACATCTGCCTCCAGGACCATGCTGTCACCTGCATAAGGGGCCAAGTTCACACCAGGTCCACTGCCAAATAGCCTGTTTCCTAACATTGAAAGGGTCACAGGCCTATGGCAGAACATTTGGGAAATAACATAAAATAGGAAGGCGGGCCGTCTACCTGCATCTCACCCACAGCTTGCCTTTTGATATGACCTTCCCTGTCTGTGGTCTGCGTGTACTTTCACACAGCTGGGACCACGCGGCATCTGCAACTTCATCTTTAGTCCATCGTCCTGCAACTCGGTTGTCAAACACGACCTCCCCATGACTGAGCTGCCCGTCCCCCCATCCTGAGACATTCAGGTCATCGGATTTAATCACAACAACCCCCCAAACCTCACCGCTATGAGTTGATTCCAACTCCGACCAGCACCATAGGCACAGAGTGGAACTGCTTCCAAGGGTTTCTGAAACCATCCTTCTCTTTCTCCTGTGGAGGGGCTGGTGAGTTCGAACTGCTGACCTTACGATTCGCAGCCGGACACAAAGCCACCAGCGCACCTCTCATCAGTAGGGGTGCATGTTTTTGATCCTGTGTTTTTTTTCTGATTCCGACTTGTGGAATCTGAGTCAGGGCAGCACAGGCCCACTTGGAAGTCCAGCTTGTCAAATGTTATAAAGGAACCTCCCCGGCCGGTGCAAATACAGGGAGGACTTACTGTTGCTGGTGGCCTAGTGGTTACAAGTTGGGCTGCTAACTTCAAGGTCGGCAATTTGAAGCCACCAGCCTCCCCAAGGGGAGAAAGTTGAGTTACAATCTCCGAAACCCATAGGGGCAGTTCTACTTTGTCCTATAGGGTCACTATGAGTCAGAATGGGGAGTTTGGTGAGGTCTGGGTGTAAATGGGTTGCACTGACTACTTAACCACAAAGAGGTAGGTGGCTGGAGCCTACCCAGAAGTCTTGCGATAGAAACAGGTGGTCCAGTGAAGACTCTAGCCGAGGGTGGGAGCAACTCTCCGGAGCCGAATGTGGCAGGTCCTGCCATCTCACGGTGCCTTGCCAGCTCTGAGCATCGCTACTCTGATCTTGTACCTGCCTGATCACTGCCCTCGAGGAGAGTTCCGTCCAGCAGGGAGCTGGGATCGCTGTCTTGGAAGCAGACCCGAGATCCCGCTAGAGGCCCTCGGCCTTGGGGCAGCTGAGTGACAGCAGGGGCTACCCTAGACAGCATCAGAAGGGACCACCCCTCCATTTAGCCAACCTTTCCATGCATGTGCTCCTGGACCTTCTGCCGCGTTGGTGACCCAGTAAGAAGGCTCTGGACCTTGGCCAGTGTCTACCTACACTATCGTAGGACCTTGGACAAGACCCTCTCCCACTCTGGACCTAAGTTTCCATGCACAGGGTCTCCACTCAGCCCTCTGACCCTTGTCACAGGTCCCAAACCAAGCTCACTGCCATCCAGTCACATCTGACCCACAGCAGCGCCATGTGACAAGGCAGAACTGCCCCCGTGGGTCTCTGAGACGAACTCTTCACCAGAGTAGAGAGCCTCATCCTCCCCCGGAGCAGCTGGTCTCAAACTGCTGGCTTTGAGGGGAGCAGCCGGATGCATAACCACCACCCACCAGGGCTCCTTCTGGAATCCCTGGAATCATTCTCCAAATACTCCCTGGTTGAAAAAACAAAAAACACACCTTGCCCTGAGCACCAGCTTCTTCATAGTATCCACACAAGCCAGGCCATGGTGTGACATCTTGTGTCTGCCGTGTATCAGGCCTGATTCCCTAACGGGGCTCTGCTCTTTAAAAAAAAATCATTTTATGGGGGCTCGTACAACTCTTATGACACGCCATCTATCCATTGTGTCAAGCACACTTGTTGCCATCATCATTCTCAAAACATTTTCTTTCTACATGAGCCCTTGATAATTGATAAATTGTTATTACTTTTTCATCTCTTACACTGACTGGCGTCTCCCTTCACCCATTCCTGTTGTCTGTCCCCTTGGGAGGGGGTTATAAGTGATTGGTTCCCCCTCCCCGCCCTCCCCCCTCCCAACCCCCGCCACCTTCCCCCACCCTCCTGGAATTGCTACTCTCATTACTGGTCCTGAGGGGTTCACCTGTTGGTTATTTCACCTCCCAGCGAGAGGAAGTGCCTGAGCAGCATGTCTGCCTCTCTCCTGCTAGCCACAAGCCTTTCCCTCCAGGTAGTCCTCCCTAAGTACTCCACTCATCTAGCAATCTTTCCCATGCACTGACTCCTGGGCCTTCTGCCTGGTGGCCCTGAAAGAATCAGAGCACATGACCTTGACCTGCTCCATACCTTAGACAGATCCTCTCCCACTCACCTGACATTGAGGGGAGGGTCTCATCACAGCAGCCTCAGCATCACCTGGGAACTTGTTCCATCCCAGACCACTGCTGTCTGTGTCTTCCGGTTCAAGCTCAGGTTTGAGCGTCCCTTTCACCTTTCATAGGTGTCTGACTTTCACAAGCATCCGCTTGAGTCTCACAGAGAGGGTTGGCCCTCTTTAACCCTCTATAACTGTAGTCTCAAAGGAGAGCCTTGGTTCTATCTCAGCTTAAACCCTTCAGACAGTGTCACCTTGGGCGGGTCACCTGACTTTCCTGCGCCTCAGTTTTTCTCCCATGCACTGGGCTGCATGGTCACTGCAGGAGGCCTGTGTGCTCTGTGGCATGTGTCCCCCACAGGATTCCTGTGCCCACTAGTGGCTGCCATGATTGTGAGGCTCAGAGGAGTGACACAATTTGCTCAGATACTTGAGTAACACGGGGCGGGGAGGGCGGGGACTCACAACAAAGCGTCCGGTTCCCTCAGGCTCTGAAGGCAAGGCCTTCTTTGCGGAGGTGTTGTCCCTGACAGGTCCTGGGGAGCGGTCAGCATAGTGCTGCCTTTGGAATCAGAGGTCTTGGGGTTCACATTCTGGGATTGATCAAATCAGCTGCTCCCCTAAGCTCGGTGGGTGGGCGTTGACTCCCAAGGAGCATGAAATGAGCATGTAAGTCACCCATCACCATGACACCCCACAGGTGGCCAGTGGTACAATGACTAATTGTGCCAGTGTCGATCCCCTAAATCTGCCATTTCACATCCCCCTTCTTGGGGGAAGAGGTAGCAGTCTGCTTCTCTACTGAAGACAGGCTATGAAACCCTCTGCCCTTGGCGTCAGATTGGGCTGGACCACACACCACCAATGACCTGCCACCCACCCACAGGAAGCCCCTGACCATGGAGTTGTCTTCTGCCATCTCAGCTCTCTGTCTGTGCCCACCCCCACCCCCGACGCACCACCCGGCCTGCCAGGTGGCACTGGTAGTTGGACTTACTGTCTAGGGCCGCCCTCATCTCCGTCTGATTGTTGGCAGCGTGAGACCACGTGACCAGCAGGCCGTCCGGGTGGCTGACCTGGCCCAGGCTCTGAAGGTAGTCCAGCATGTCCCCATCCGGGCAGTAGCCCAAGTCTGGCTCACAGCCTGGAGGGAGCCCAGAGGGGGTTGTTTGCATCAGTCCCTGCTTCAGGACCCCGTCTATTCACCCCTGTCCCAGCACGGCACAGAGCAGCCAGTGCAACTCCAGAGTCCTCAGGGCTGCCCAGAGTCCTCAGGGCCGTTGGCCACTGGGGCTTTCTGGTCTGAGGCAGCCTCAAAAAGGGGGTACATTCCGAGAAGGCAAATTGGAGGGGGGACCTTGGAGAATGAATGAAGACTTGACAGAAAGGTCCAATGGAGTATTCCAGACAAGGAGAGCAGCAGAAGTAAAGGCCACTGGCGGGGGACGCAGAGAAATGCCAACCAGCTGGGGGGGGGGGGGACCTCCACCAGGCTGCAAATGGCCTTGAATGCCAGCAGAGGGGGTTGGCAGTACCTGCAGGGAGAGGCCGGTGGGCGGCCAGAAGCAGAGGGTCATTGAGCGGAATGTGTCACTAAGGGTCCCCCAGGGGGGCAGGAGGCCTGAGCCGAGGGGGTGGGGTGGCTGGGGAGAGAGCAGCAGGTTCCAACTCCGAGCCCCTGGGAGGCCCTGAGCTGCCCTGCAGGGCGTCTACCTCCGGAAACAGACCCCTCACCCTTCTCCTGGGAAGCAGCCGATGGAGACACGTGCTTAATCACGGCACCAGACTTCGTTCCCAGGGGATGGAGTGCAGGGGATTGAGGGCTCAGGGAAACAGACTGAGATGAAGCTGGTGGGTGGGTTTGCGGTGACTGCCAGGTCCCTGGGTGGTTGGGGAGCCGGCGTGGCACGGAGCACGAGGCCAGCTCCCAGCGTGGAGTCTGCAAGGCTCCGTGTCTGTCCCAGGGCTGGGAAGTGGGCAGGAGCCCGAGGTCCAGCAGTAGGGTGGGTGGGGGTGGAAGAGGTGAAGGGAGCTGTAGATGGGGAAGGTCAGGAGGGGAACTGGCTGGAAGTTCGGGGGTCCCGGGCGACTCTTACCTGGCTGTGCTGGCTGACGCAGCGTGAGACCCAGGATCATGCCAATGATGCACACCAGGGCCATGCCCGCACTGCTGATGAGAACCCACTTGGCCCAACTACCTGAGCAGCGCACCCCAAAGGCCATGGCGCCCCTCTCCCTGGGATGTTTCCCCCTCTTGACTCAGCCTTCCCTGAAGGCCTCTGCAGCTGGATTGGGTGGAAGGCGAGAACCCCCAGTGGGATTCGGTCCTCTCCCAGGTCTGGCCGGCTCCTGCAGCCCTGAAATAGCCAGTGGAAGGGAGGCTCCTGAGGTGCCTCCTTCCTCCGCCCGCCTTCAGCCTCCCAGGCTCGTAACAGGTCAAGTGGAACACCCTACCTCCCCACCTCCCAAGATGACCTTTGAGCTCAGGAAGAGGCAGCAGAGAGACGAGTCCCCCCACCCCCACCAACCGACCGTTCGCCCCTGCCTGGGAGCCAGCGGACAAGAGCTCTAGTCCCAGTTCTGCCTGGCTTTGCTGGAGATGGCAAGCCGGGGTCTTCCCCCTTATATTAAGGGGGCCAATCTCTAACACCCTTCCCTCTTTTCAAACTAGGACTTTTTGCCCTGCCCTAGGGAGTTGACAGGCTTGTCCAAGGTTGTTGCCTGGACAGATTAGATTTCCCTGTGAGACAAGACTTCTCCTTTTTCCAAGACAGTGGCTGATTATCTCTCTGAGATTGAGGCTGGAAGGCCTGGCAGCTGCCTGCTTCTTTCAGGCCACTCCTGGGGCAGCGAGTCCATTGGGAAGGAAGGGGCTGAGTCACCACCTCAAGCTGAGGGGACTGACACGTGGGGAGCCAGAAGAAGAAACTACTCTGTCGTGGGGAAAGTGCAGCCAGAATGCTGGGTGGAAGTTAGGGTGCTACTTGGCACGTACTGCCATAGGGACCCGTCCCTGGAGAAGGAGCTCATGCTTGTGAAAGTGGCGGGGCAGCAACGAAGAGGAAGGCCCTGCAGGAGATGGGTGGACACTGGCAGCAACCACGGGCTGCCGCAACAAAGGTGATGCTGGAACGTGTGGTTGGAATTTCTTTTTTGGAGAATGAATACCAGACTAGTCCCCACGAGCTGGAGACGCGATGCCCAATGCACAACTCTTCCAAGGGATTAGTCAGTTCCAGGCCACCCTCCCACCCGCACCACTCCTCCCTTGAGCCATTCCCTCCTTTCGGGTTCTGCACATCACTCCAAAGTCCCCAGAGACTCAGGAAACGTTGAGGCTCTGTTTCAAGTGGCAGTGGGGCTTGCTCAGCCCCAAATCCCCAGGTCAGGCCGGGGTGAACCAAATGCAGGGAGCCCCAAATCACGGCAGGTCCTCTTGCACAGGCAGGGCATACAGATCTGGTTTCCCATGTATGAGGCCCCTCCCAAAATGATGTCTTAAGCCACACCGGTCTACCAAGGTAAAACAAAAGATGCCCTCCAGGAAATAAAGGGCATATTCACACCCTCCCCTAAAGCAGGCTCTTAAAGACACTCTCCAGGAAACAAAGTGTGTTTTGACCTACAGTTTCAATCCATCAGCCGAGTAGCGATCCTAAACTGCAGCTGGAGCCACGGGCGTACAAAGTCCAGAGCTGCCATATAGCAGAGAAGGAACCTTATTGATGGGCCATCACCAGCATTTTCAACAACAAAAATTTTTGAGGGAGGGGTAAAAATGAGAACCTGATGGCAGGGGCTTAAGTGGAGAGCAAATGTTTTGAGAATGATGAAGGCCATGAATGAACAAGTGTGCTTTACACAATTGATGTATGTATGGATTGTGATAAGAGTTGTATGAGCCCCTAATAAAACGATTAATAAAAAGGAAGACAATTTTTGATTGGTTGATGACTGTATCAGAAGAGCCATATACTTCATGAATACCTCGAGGCTCACTGTCATACAGCACCGACGAAACACAACATTCCTCTGGCTCCTGAACGCCCCTTCCCACTGTCAGGACCTTACAAATCCGGCTAGACCGGAGTATGGACATAGGTACGGAAGGAGCTCTTGGTCCACAGAATCCAGGACAGATAAACCCTCAGAGCAATAATGGGAGTAGCTGTATCATGAGGGTAGAGGAGTCGGCGGAAGGGGCAGAAAGAGGGAACTGATCACAAGGTTGGATGTATAACAACCACCCCACCCCCAGCCAGGGGGACGAATAATGGAAATGTGGGTGAAGGGATACAGTGGGTGGTTAAGATAGGAAAATAAAAATAATTTATAAATTATCAAGGGTTCATGAGAATGGGAGGGTGGGGGGGAAGGGAAAAAAGAGGAGCTGATACAAAGGGCCCAAGTAGAAAATGTTTTGGAAATGATGATGGCAACATATGAACAAGTGTGCTTAATACAATTGAATTATGGGTTATTAAAAGATCTGTTAGAGGCCCCCCCCCCGCCAATAAAATTATTAATTAGAAAACCCCCAAAATTCATTGCCATTGACAGTCAGTGCCCTCTCATCGCAATGCTACAGGACAGGGTAGACCTGCCCTGTGGGTTTCTGAGACTGACTCTTTATGGGAGTAGAAAGCCCTGTGTTCTCCGTTGGGGCGGCTGGTGGTTTCAAACTACTGACCTTGCACATCACAGCCCAGAGTGTAACCACTTCACTGCCTGGACGCCTATGAATATATGAAACATTATGGAAAATAGAAGGCTTGATACAGCCAGTGAGCCACACTTCTAAGACCTCTTGGGAATTCCCTGCTGTTGTTTTCTGAGAACGTTTCCAGTGGTCCAGTGAGACTGAAAGAGATGATCTTGGAACGGGCAGTTACTCCAAGGTTAGGCATCACTTGAGGCATGGCTATCGGCATTAATGGTATCTATATTTATGATTATACATCACACACTGTTCCAGCATTTCATAAGACGAACTCGGGTGTTAGGGGTAAGAAAGACAACTCTATTTTCATAAAGCAAAACTTAAATTTTATTTCACAGGTGAAATAAGCTATCCAAGTATTGTTTTTTTAGTGACCAAAGATAAACTCCTGACAATGCTGGTATTTTGTGTTTGGAACTCCATAGAAGGCCAGTGGGAAGCCACAAGAGATTTGCTCCTGTTTTGTAGGGAAAAGTGCTAGAAATGATAGGGTTTATATAACGTGTCCTGAACTACATAAAACATGTTGTCCATTCAAGAGAAGTGCCTAATTTCTTTGGGTGACCGATGTGTAGGAGTGTCAGGACCGCAAGGTGACGTGCTTGCTTGAGACCAGAGGACACAATTTGCAACCACTAACTTGGCTGCAGCTGTGTTTCTTCGATGTGGATGATCAAAGCCAGTGGTTTTCACGGGCACACGCATGGCTTGCCTATGGGGTTTTACTGGTATTCGCGTGTGGAGAGACTGGTTATCGGCATGTCCTTGGCATGTCCTGTACCGAGTCTGACTCCTGACGGCCCTGTGAGGCAGAGCAGAGGAGGCCTGGCTGGTGAGGTTTTCATCTGTACCAGTGGGCTGCACAACATTCTCCCACAGGGTGGTTGGTGGGGCCAAACCATCCAAATCGGGTTACGTTTTCAAGTTCAGTTTTTACCTAGTGCTTTTTAGAGGCCACAGAACTAGTATGTATTGGGGTCTGTTAATAAATGTGTTAGGCTTTGCCAGTTTAAAAAGCTGTACTGCACGAGTTATGAGACAGAGACAAAAAAGGTAAAATGTTTCTTTAAGGTGTGATCTGCATGGCTAGAGCTTGATCGGTCAATGGGTGAGACTTTTAGAGTGTTGGTATCAAGAAATTGCATTTCTTTCTGTTAAAGTGACAAAATGTTCTTCTTCTTCTTTTTACAAAATGTTCATTAATGAGGGGGGAGCGGGGAGGGAGGGGAAAAATGAGGACCTAATGTCGGGGGTTTAAATGGAGAGAAAATGTTTTGAGAAACGATGTACAAATGCGCTTTACACAATTGATGTGTGTATGGATTGGGATAACAGTTGTATGAGCCCCTAATAAAATGTTAAAAAAGAAAGAAAAAAAAAAGTTCATTAATGATTGAATGGCTAACCATGTTTTCTGTGTAATCTGCCTAGAAGGCAAAACAATTCTGTGTCTCACTAGAATAAGCACCCGAGTTCATGTTGAAAAATCAAGCTTTTTTTTACGCTCACTTTTTGCATCGAGAAAATCTCTGCAGAAGCGCCTCTTTAAAGTGTCAAAAAGCAACGCTGTCACGCTGAGGACCACTGTGAATGCCGAACAGTGGAGCGGGAAGCGCAAGATGAATCGTGCACGGGGCATTTGAATACGGTGACCAGATGTTAACACTGGTAAAGCAGGACACCATTGATAAAACTCATATCCTGGCGAAATAGCCACATGGCAGCCGAAAACCGTATACCCTAGCTTGTCGTGCATTCTTTCTAAAAATAGGGACTTTTTGAAAACGCCACGGGACGCGGGACAAATTGTTTAAAATCGGGAGTGTTCCGCCAAAAGCAGGACATCTGGTCACCTTACATTTGAATGAAGGTGTTGGTGAAGCAGGCAGGGACGCACCAGGCGCGGCCAGAAGACACCCAACCAGACTTCTCTTAGAAAGAAGGAGGGCAGGTTTCATCTGCTGCATGGTGGACATGTGATCGGGAGAAGCCCATCCTGCTTGGTCAGTGGAAGAGGAAGACCCTCAATGGAACAGATTGACCCGCGGATAGCACTGGGTCAGAACCGACCCAGTGGCACCCAGCAACAAGTACAGCGAGTTCAGCACAGCCCCTGTAAGTGTTAGTGTCTATGGATAGCTGTGCCCGTGCGAATCCCTGAAAGCAGCGGACGTGTAGCAGAGTTGAACAAAATGGACTAGTTCAGAAAAGGATGAGAGATTGCGGTGAATATTCTGAACCCGGATCGCACTGGGATGAAGCACGACTTCCAGAACGCTTGTAGAGAAGCCGGCTGAGGGCTCCCGACTCCTGATCCAGCGCAAAGCAGCACGGGACCGAATGCAACGCCACGGAAGGACCTGGAAGGTTATCGTGGGTCTCACGTGTGGGACGCTGCTGGTGCTGCGTGTTCTGGTTTCTGGATCTAACATTCTTCCCTTTCCCTAAAGTGGCTGGCAAAGGGGGTGTGTTTGATCAGCGATCTGGAGGGGCTCTTGTGCTACTGCCCGGCCTCTACTCAGAAATCAAAGGCGAAAACCAGAACCAGGAGGGGAACCTGACAATTAAGACCAGACACGAGACTCTAAATGGAGTCACAGAAGAATATCGTAACACTTGAAGCAGAAATCTCGCGGATAAACCTTGAAATGCTGTAAAGACAACTAATTAGAGCTGCAGTCAGACC